CTGTTTCTGTTGCTGTTGCTGTTGCTGTTGCTGTTGCTGTTGCTGTTGCTGTTGCTGTTGCTGTTGCTGTTGCTGTTGCTGTTGTTGTGTGAACAAAATTTCCAGCACCACCTTTGCTCATGGAAGAAAGGTAACTTCAAAGTCACAGGAAGAAATATGCAGTGGTAAGTATGAAGGAATGAAGAGGAACTATTGTGTTGTCTGTGCAGAAGAAGCAAAGCATAMTAGGTATCTTAATTTATCAGTGAGGAGATTGAGGTAGTTGTCATGGATTAGTATGAAAATGTCAAGGAATATCTTAAGAAGTTGCAATGTTGCTGTATGTAAAGAGCATTGAAGTAACTTCAACCATCAAGCATAGTGATATGTTAAATGAATATATTTATTCCTGTCAAAATATATTCTTATAATATTGTTTATAGTGATGAGAGGGGTGTGATAAGTAGAGTAGTAGTGTAGTAGAAGTAGCAAAGAAAAAAATCCTAAATTTTCCCTGTGGCAATATTTGTTAAGAATGATAGGCACATGAATCAAATCCCAGTAAAAAAGACAACTTTAGTCCTCATGTTGGGGGTTATAGTGGGTTATTGACTATTGAAAGGTACTCAGGGCTGTATATCTAAATTAAACAATGTATGAATGGTTCGGCCAGAAATGTGGCCAAACCTATATGATAGCTTTTACTAGAGTGAGTTGACACTTAGTTAACTTTCTTCATGTTTTCTACTGTGCATCAATTTTGGGCCATCAACTCACAGTGTAATGACGTGTGGGATTCAAAATTTGACTTGTACTACCACCAATACAGCAATAGCATGTGTTGAAGCAAAAAGCACGTGCATGCAAAACTACTTGGTTGCAAGACTGGTGGGATTCAAAAATTCAGTATGTCCCTGTCTGTAAACTGTGGTACAAGGCAGTTTTTTTTGTCAGAGTAGTCATTTCACGCAAAATAAGAAGGGCCTATAATCTCCCACTGTATCATAGTAAAATAGTAATAATATTATATTTAACCTCGTGAACTACTAGAAGAGGCACTATATGGCCAGAACCATAGCTTTTGTTAGAAAGTATGCTTCTTGCTGCTCCAAGGGGTGGCAATTCCCTCTGAGGAGTATTTGTGGAAGTGCAACCAGGGGGTGTTTTGCTGGATTTAAAAGAATTGATTGAGCTTGGTTTGGAGTAAACTGGAAGAAGAAGTAACTTGAGGAGCACTGTATCATAGTAGATTGGCTGGCCAAACCTATGTGATAGGAATCAGTAGAAATTCTAGGCAATAATTTTGAGACCCAAAGTGTAAGTTTGGGCATGCAAAAAGATTGTGTGCATTTTGAAAGATTTGTTTTGAAAATTATACTATATGTGACAGACAAAGCCCTATACTATAGTACTATCTGTAACAGACAAAAACAACTGAAGCCCCAAACCTAGTAGAGATCTACTTGTATACTATTTAGACTCAATCCCCCCAAAAAACAGTCACCAATTGCTCAGAAGTTTGGTATGCTGCCCTACCCTGAGTCCAGATCCCAGTCAGCACCAGCTATCATGATTGACCTTGCTGTCAATGTTCTTACTACAAATGCTTTACTAAATCTTTATGACCTTCTTTTAAAAACCCATGCAGCATTTTCTCATGCCACCAGTTCCCTCATTAATACTAATATCATTGCCTTAGACATGCATGTTGGATAACAATAACCTCAATCCAAGAAGCTCCTTTAAAGTAGTAGTTACCATGTGGCTAGTACTACTTAAGATCTGTTGCCTGAAGAACACCACCACCAAAAACATGTGTTCACCACTCAGTTTAACATTCCAGCATCCCTTTGCACAAGTTCTTCCAGTAATGTCTTTACTTCCTACATTTGTTTTGGGCAGCAACAACCCACCCAGTCCCAATCTAGTACTAGACCTAATTCATCTCCTAGAATAGTATTTACTAGTAGTTTCTACTATATTACAATTGGTGGTTCCTCTGACATTTTGGTTGGATGCTACTAGTAACAGCCCAAAAGAACTAGTAGTAGTACTACTTGTAGTAATGGTGCTAACAACCTACTACTCATGTTCAGCATTGAAGAATACTTTGCCCTGTATGTCTTCCCCCCATAGTAAAGTTGTGCCCTTCTACTAATTTAGTTGCATTCAGAACTCCGTGTTGTTTTTCCAGCAGAAACTTCATCAGGGCCCTCCGGAACCAACGCGCGCGCGTCCCCCCTTTGAAATCAAATATCGGGGGTATGATTTCGTGGGTTTTTTTTC